GTCAGTTCCTGGCGGGGGGGGGGCGGCTGTCTTGCTGCTTGTACCAGCGCAGCTGCGACGTGGGGCTGGGAGTGCCTTTTAATGTTGCTTCTTATTCTTTGTTGACAATTTTAATTTCGAAAATAACAAATTTAATTCCCTGCGAGTTCATTCACTGCCTCGCACACGCCCACGTCTACAGCAGCCACCAGCAGCAGCTGCTGCAGCAGCTGCAGCGGCCCCCCGCGCCTTTTCCCGCACTCAGGATCCGCGGCCAGCCCCAGGCAACCCTAAACCCTAAACCCTAAACCCTAAACCCTAAACCCTAGGCCCTAAACCCTAGGCCCTCGGCGCCCGGCGGGGGCGCGCAGCAGCGCGGGCGCAGCCGCGACGGCAGCGCGGGCAGTGCCCGCAAAGCCGGCGGCGGAGAGCTGCGACAAACCCTAAACCCTAAACCCTAAACCCTCGACCAAAACCCTAATTCGCGGTTTGCGCTGCTTGCGGTTTCTTGCCGCAGGAAATCGAGGACTTCACTGCAGACAGCTTCGAGCTCGTCGGCTACAACCCTCACCCCACCATCAAAATGCCAATGGCCGTCTAAACCCTAAACCCTAAACCCTAAACCCTAAACCCTAAGTGATGGGCCCGGCGTTGTTTCCTAGAAAACTGCTCGAGGACTCGCGGGCAAGTGAAGTTGCATTTAGGGTTTAGGGTTTGCCTCAGGGCGCAGGGTTTAGGGTTCAGCACCCGGCGTAGGGTTTAGGGTTTACCAAGTAGGGTTTAGGGTTTAGGGTTCACCAAGTAGGGTTTAGGGTTTAGGGTTTAGGGTTTGTAGACACAGAAGCAGCCACGCGGGCAAACAGCAGCAGCAGAGAGGAAAAGGAGATATAAATCAAATTCAGAAATCAAAAGAAACAAAGAAACGGATTTGTTGCTCAGCAGCTGCAGCAGCCTGCTGCTGCTGCTGCAGCGCGTGCTGCTGCTGCTGCTACAGCGCGTGCTGCTGCTGCTGCTACAGCGCGTGCTGCTGCAGCTGCTGTGCCTGCTCCTGCTGCTGCTGCTGAGGCAGCTGCTGCAGCTGCAGCGCGTGCTGCTGCCGCTGCTGCTGTAGCGCATGCTGCTGCTTTTCTAGTTGCTGCCGCCGTAACTGCTGCTGCTGCTGCCCACCGCAGCAGCTCCCACAGCATTGCGGCCTTCCGCTGCTGCTGTTGCTGCTGCAGCTGCTGCTGCTGTTGCTGCTGCAGCTGCTGCTGCTGCTGCAGTCTTCACAGTTTAAGATCATCAGCGAATGCGTCGGCTCCTTGAAAGTTTCTAAGAAGCATTTTGGTGCGCCGAACTTCTGCCGTTTGCTGCTGCTGCTGCAGCTGCTGCTGCAGCTGCAAGAGCTGCTGCCGCTGCTGCTGCTGCTGCTGCACTGAGGGCGACCCTCTTCGCCGCATCCGCTGAATTACAAGACGAGTGTATTCTTCTTTTGTCCAGTTGCGCGGCAGAACCTGTGATTCAGCAGCAGCAGCAGCAGAAGCAGCAGCAGCAGAAGCAGCAGCAGCAGCAGCTGCTGCTGCTGTTGTTGTGCTCCTGCGGCAGCTATTGCCTTCCTCTTCCGCTTCGTCGTCAGAATCAAGGAACCAGGATATCGGCTCCTGCTGCTGCAGGTGTTCCTGTTGCTGCTGCTGCAGCTGTTGCTGCTGCTGCTGCTGCTGCTGCGGTCCGTCAGGGGCTGTGGCTGGTGCTGCTGCTGCAGCAGCTCTCCCTGTGGCTGCAGCAGCGCCTTCTTTGCTGCTGCTGCTGCTGCCGCTCTTCATCTGCTTGAAGAATTCAATAGTATCTTTGCTGACCCCAGCAGCAGCGGCAGCACGGGGTGCTGGTGCTGCACCTGTTGCTGCAGCAGCAGCAGCAGCAGCAGCAGCAACGTAGAAGCCATGTGTCTCTCCTGCTGCCCACAGCACCTTGCTGAAGAGGGGCCCCTCCTTAAAGGGGCCCCTCTGCTGCTGCCGCTGCTGCTTCCGTCCCAATTGCTGCTGCAGCTCCCCTTGTTCTTCGTCTCCCAGCTGCTGCTGCTGCTGCTGCTGCTGCTGCTGCTGCTGCTGCTGCCGTTTGATTCTCCTCCTCAAGGATCTCTTGTTCGAAAACAGCCGCTGCAGCGGCTGCTGCTGCACTGCAGCAGCAAATACTTGGGAAGCTAGGGGCATGTCAGCTGCCCCTATTATGTTTGATACAAGACCCATACCCAGGGGGCCCCCATAGGGGCCCCCCATGGGGCCCCCCTGGGGGCCCCCCTGGGGGCCCCCCAGGGGCTCCCCAGGAGGACCCATTGTATGGGATTTGTCCTCTTGAAACGAAGTTGCTGCAGCAGCAGCAGCAGCAGCACAGCATAGGCAGCAGCAGACAGATGGAAGAGCTGCAGCGACGAAAAATCAGAGCAGCAGCAAAGAGCAGCAGCAGCAGCAGCAGCAGCAGCAGCAGCAGCGGCAGCAGTCTAGCTGCTACCGGCACCTACAGCAGCAACAAACGCAGCAGAAGCAACAGCTGCACTCCTACAAGCAGCAGCAGCAGCAGCAGCCATAAAGGCAGCAGCAGCAGCAACGGCAGCAAACGCAGCAGCAACAAATGCAGCAGCAGCAGCAGCAGCAGCAATAAAGTACCTGGAGCAGCAAGTGCTGCTCTGTGCACGTAAGCAGCAGCATTTGTTGGAAAATGAAAATTAATTACATGAGCTTTTCCTTTTAGCTGCCCGGAGCGCGACAGCAAATCTGTAGCCACCAGAATATGCGGGGCTGCTGCTGCTGCTGCTGCTGCTGCTGCTGTGTTTGCTGCTGCTGCGTCTGCTGCTGCTGCACTTGCTGCCGGTGCAGCTGCTGCTGCGTTTGCTGCTTCTGCTGCTGCTAACCGCCGCCGCATCGACAGCTGCTTGTGGTAAGCAGAAACGGGCCAGCCGTGCTGCCGCAGCAGCAGCGTGAGCTCTTTGCTGCTGCTGCTGCTGCTGCAGAACACCACGGTGAGGGCGGCAGGGACTTGCTGCAGCAGCAGCAGCAGCAGATTAAAGCGCTCTTTGAACTCTGCAGCACGCAGCAGCTGCTGCCGGTCCTTTTCCAAGTCTAGATCTGCCATGGCTTCGAGCAGCAACAGCTGCTGCTGATGCTCTCGCTGCTGCTGCTGCTCTTGCTGCTGCTGCTGCTGGTCTTCAGTGGCTTTCCTACGGCTGGCGCGTAGGTGCTGCTGCTCCTGCTGCTGTTGCTGCAGCAACTGCTCCTCCCTCTTTAGTTCGTTCCACACGGGATACTGCCTCTCGATCTCCTTCCTCAAGTTGCCGTCATTGAGCCGCAGCCACAGCTGCCGCTGTTGCTGCTGCTGCTGCTGCTGCTGTTGCTGCTGCTGCTGCTGCACCGGCGCAGCAGTGCTGAACCGCTCCAGCAGCAAAACCCCGCTGCTGCAGGGGCCCCCATAAGAAACTGTAGACCCGATGAATATCAGTTGGGTTGGGGGCAAAGCCTTGGCCTGAGCACAAACACACGAGCTGCTGCTGCTGCTGCTGCTGCTGCTGCTGCTGCTGCTGCTGCTGCTGCTGCTGGATTCTGCTGCAGCAGCAGCAAGACGCTCCGCACGACGCTTTTAACAGCAGAGACAGCAGCAAGCAAGCGTTTCTTGGCAGCTGGAGAAACAGCAGCAGGAACAGCAGCAGCAGCAGGAATAGCGAGCAGCAGCAGCAGCAACAGCGGCAGCAGCAGCAGGAACAGCAGCAGCAGCAGCAGCAGCAGCAGGACCTTGACTTTGACTGTGTTTGGGGCGTTAATGGGGGGCCTCGGCCTCAACTTTCCGAGGATGTTAATAGTGGCATTTTTGGTTTTGTTTTGCTGCAGCAGCAAATCAATTTCTTCACAAATCACCACAGAGGGAAGGGGGGCCCCCAAGAGGGGCCCCCAGGAGGCCCAGAAGGCAGCAGGAGTTGCCAGTATAATGTCGCAGCAACCCCACCTAATAAACACGCAGCATAAACAAATACGTGCTGCTGCTGCTGCTGCTGCTGCTGGTGTTGCTGCTGCTGCTGGCGCTGCTGCTGCTGCTGGTGCTGCTGCTGCTGCTGGTGCTGCTGCTGCTATCGAGGGTGGAGCGATGCCGCCGCTGCTGCTGGCGCTGCTGCTGCTGCTGCTGCTGCTGCTGCTGCTGACGGTAGCCGCAGTGGGCAGCAGCGCCAGCAGCACAGGCATACCCTGGATAAGCAGCAGCAAGAAGCAACACGGGCAGCAGGCAAAGCCGCAGCAGCAGTAGCAGCAGCAAGAGCAGCAGCAGACTCGACAGCAGCAACAGCAGCAGCAGCAGCTCGTGCCTACCGGATGCGTGATCCATACATTGTTGGAACCCTGAGAATATCCGGCTGTTGCTGCTGCTGCTGTTTTTGCTGCTGCAGCTGCCCCTCTTTCTGCTGCTGCTGCTGCTGCTGCAGCTGCAGAGCCTTGTTTGCTGCTAGGACTTGAACCCTGCTGGGGTCCTTGAGCAGCAGCCGCTGCCAGCTGCTTCCCAGCTTCCTCCACTCCTCTGGGGGCACATCTTCTAGCTGCTGCTGCTGCTGCTCTTGCTGCTGTTGCTGCTGCTCGTCCTGCTGCTGCTGCTGCTGCTGCTGCTGCTGGTAGTCCCTGCCCACGTCCGAGAGGCACTGCACAGCAATTCGCCCCAAAGGGTCCAGCTGCTGCAGCAGCAGCAGCAGCGACAGCACAGAGTCTTGGCTGGGCAGCAGCAGCAGCACGGGGCGCAGCAGCGCGAGGGGGTTGGCAGCAGCTGCTTCTTGGTCCTCCGGCCGCTGCTGCAGCAGCTGCTGCAGCAGCAGCTGCTGCTGCTGCTGCAGCGCTTGCTGCTCCTCCTTCTCCAGCAGCTCCAGTGGCTGCAGCGCTGCATGCCTCCAGCCCCCCTCAACTGCTGCCCGCAGCAGCGCCCGGGCCACGCCTTCGGGGGGCCTCGCAGCAGCAGCAGCAGCAGCAGCAGCAGCAGCGGGAGCAGCAGCAGCAGCGGGGGCGCTGGAAGGGGCAGCAGCAGCGGCGGGCTGCTCTGCTGCGGTCGCCGCCGCAGCTCCCGCTGCTGCTGCTGCTGCTGCTGCTGCTCCCGGCGCCTCCCCGCCGGCGCCCCGGCCCCTCGCCGCCTGCTGCTGCTGCTGCTGCTGCTGCTGCTGCTGCTGCTGCTGCATGTGCTGCAGCAGGTCGTGGGCGAGGTAAAGCCTGTTCAAAATGGGCAGCAGCGCAGCAAGAGTCTTCTCCCTTTTGTGCTGCTGCAGCAGCAGCAAATCCCGACCCCTCGAAACCATAAAGAAGGCACTCGCCGCCGAGGGTTTCAAAACCCTAAACCCTAAACCCTCGACTGCCCCCGCAAGCGCG